TTTAATCCAGAACAAATATAAAGCATGGAAGACTGTTCGATATTTTGAATGTTTCAGTTTTTGGGCTAAAACTAATTCCATAGCGTCTATCTGATCTTTGCTCCATCCTGTCCATGATATGTAATCTGAATTTGTAAACGCAAGTTCACTATTATCGACTAATGGACTGTTTTTTACGTAGAAAAGCGAGGCAAGAACGTATCTGGTATTTTCTACTGTACATAAAGAAGGTACTTTACAGAACCTTTTCTCTGCTTAATGACCCCTTATTGGTATATACGTGAAGATCCATGTTTTACCCAGTTTAAAATGATCCCATACGCAAGTAAAATCATTACGCAAGGATCTCTTCCAAACATGTTTGATTATCTAATGTTCGAAAGCTTTTAATCCTTCTCACGCGTGACTTTTCCAAGAGCAACTTAGTCATCTTTCCAAAAAACGAGTAAAACTTTTCAATTCAACACGTACACATTGTAATTCTTCTATAAGTTCTGTTATTAAATTCGAAGCAGCTGTTGAACTTAATCTTGTGGGTAGTTGAACTCTTTTTGATGGTATCTCAAGACGTTGTACAGCATAAAGACGTGAATTATTTGATGCATATATTTGTGTTCAGTTAAAATCTTCATTCGTTCTATCGATGTTAAAAGTTTCATCTTTGTACCAGTCTTCACGCAGTATACACAATAATCGACACCTTCTGTACTATTTAATGGTGTTTCTTACTATAAAAAACACCATTAAATAGTACAGGATCCTATACGAATGTATCAACCCTCGCTTCATTCTCATTCAATTCTTCTTCATCAACGCGAACAATAACTTGAGACCAACAAATTCCTCTTTGTTTTTGCTTGTTTATACATTAAAGTACGACATTTGTTACACATAAACATTTCACTTTTCAATTGGACGTTCTTTTCTCTGAGCAAATTATGCAACCATTTGTATTTGCTTTTAGAAATACCTCTATCCGCACATTTCGAATGCTTGGGATGTAATATACAGTCACAATTTATACATCTTATGCTTCGACTACTCATTTTTACTTTATATGTTAATATAGGAGATACAGTCCTGATCAGAGTACAAGGAAATCATTCAAAATTAGATCACAGATTTTCTACAACACTTAAAATCATCACAAAAACTCAACACCTCACTTATTTTCTACAAGATCCAGAAACTCAAGAGAATACCGATTTCATGTAAATAATTTAAGACCGATTCTGATCTTCGAGAAATATTATCGGAGAAAAATGGAATAATTATGTTAAAGCTACCAAAAGAGCATCACGAAAATAATAACTTCGTCAACAGCATCCACCATATGAAATTAAACAGTGTTTACAAACAACGACATTTATCAATTATAAAACCAGTATCGATAAATACGATCAGTGCATATACAAAAAACACCGTCCATTATTCTACTGATACCGAATCAACTCTTCAGAAGGCTACGAATACTGAACCGAAATCAAGTTTACTATCTATAATCGACACTGAAATGTATATGACTCATAATGATTTTTCTAATTTCGTTAGCATCGAATGTGAATTCCTTCCAACACTATCTCCACCAGAATTTGAATTAATTAAAGAATTCGTGAAAAACGTTTTAGAACATAGAGTCCTCATCGCAGGGAGGATTAGGGATGTTTCGAACCCGAACGTTCGTGTTCGAAGTTCGAAACCTAGTTCTTTTAAACTCGATCGTTTACTCCTGTAGCTGGCCGAAATAGCAATTTTTCATCTTGCTAATAACGGACGCATTTATATTGCGAAGTTTTACACTCAAATAAGGTTGTCTTCTTTCTTTATTGTGATCAAACACAATGGAATCGCAGAGTAATTTTGATGAGAAGATTTTCTCGACGATGGGGAGTCAGAAAATGACTTTAAGCAACCTCTAAGAGCGACCTATTGGCCGAAATTTCTTTTTAAATTGCTTTGCGTCTGTTTTTTGTTTATTCCATGCTTTACCTATAGGGGCTTGCAATTTTTGAGGGATCTGATTCAATCAAGAAGAAGTTTTAATGTAGATCACAGAAAACTTCTTCACAGTTCTGTGGTTTTATGCGTTAACTGGGCGATTTTCTCGTACGGGCAATAGAGTTTTGGGGATTTTTTTGTTGAGGCCACTACATGCATGCAACACCTAGCGTGAGTTGTGGAAATACAAGTTTAGAGACTTGATTCAAGACCTTTGAACGAAAGAACATAAATGTTAAAAATTAGATGTCAAACTTTCGAACTTTAGTCGAACTCGAACATCGAACCAAAGTTCGGGTTCGAAACTTCCCTAGAGAGAATTAGTGGATGAACTTCGTTCATTCTTCAGATCTGGAATCCTCGGCAAGAATCAGGCACTATATCATTCAGTTAAAGTCCAAGATTCATTTCATTATTGTATGCTCGATAGAACACCGCCTCTTCGAGGGGAAAGGGCTCTGAGTACTTCGGATAATGAAGAAGATGAGTACGACGAAGGTTCATTGATAACACATGCCAACTTTTACTCAGAAGGAACTTGGTCAAGTACGCACTAATCGATTGCCATGCCGTTAGCCGTTCTTTCCAGTACATGAAACAAGCCACGGATCCGTCTCCCTCATCACCAAACACCATTCAATCACCTACTTCGCACATGGAATGCGAATCAGATCATGTCGCATCACCACCAATAACACGACGAACTGTTACTTTCGTTCCTCGAAATGATCTATCACAACTCTCATTAATTCACTTAGAGAGCACTCTGCCACAAAATAACAATGAAACGGAAATTCCAAGACCAAGGTCAACAAAAGGTTAACAAAACATAGACCACGATCATTAGAATCCAAAAGAAAATAAACATAAACACAACAACAAGAATGAACGCAAAACGATATAATCATTATATTAAAGTCAGTGTTAATCCTCAGTACACATTACCACATATCAGAGAACATCTGAACTGGCGCCTTATTCAATTCAAACATATATGCATCACCATTATGGAGCATCTTATTATTAGCTTTCCATCTGTAACAGATATACAACAATTTAAAGATAAAATGAGCATTAAGTATTTAGAAACATTTCGCCAGTAAAGTTGAACACATTTACTTCACATTAGGAATCTTATCCCCACTTCTTTAAGGGCTGGGAGCTGAATGAGGTCTCCTGAATGTTTCTTCTTCACTTTTGCTTTTTTTATCTTTTTTAGATTTCTTCAGATTCTTCTATCTGCTTTTATTTATTTGCATTTTTTCGGCTACTAGAATGTCTTCAAATGAACATCAAGAACAAGTGTACATTAACATTTATTTCATCACATCAATGAACACGGATATCAATCGAGCAACGTTTCCTACCGAACTTTTCTAAGACGATATAACAGTCCTTTTGGCTACCATAAGTGTTAAGTATGATGTAGAATAACTTTTTTCTTTGTTATTTCGTACAGATGTTTTTCATCTCTGTAAACACATGGACAGTCATAGACATACCTCTTTTTTTCTTTACTCTTGTGGACGAACAGCATTGTTCTTCTGTCTTCTCCATTTGTATAGTACTGTCTGAGGACATTTTTGCAGATGATTCTCCCTCAGTCTTTATTTTTATGTATATACCTAAACTGTTTCTTAGTTTTCATTCTGCCTTTTATCTTGAGAGTAGGATCCTCGTGTGTTTGTTACTTGTTTTTCTCGTTACGCGTTACTGAATTTGTATTTTATTCACTTCAGCTATTATAATAAATTATTCAATCAAGTTCACATGCACATACAGTCAACACGTAACAGCGATTTCTCTCTCGCAGCAGATTTTGCTTAGCTTCTCCACATACCACTAGACGCTGATCGCGGCATATTCTTTGAAGCGTGAGATTTATCTCATTTCACTAGTCATTTCAACATCGAAAGGCTACTCTAGTCGAGAGTCCCGATGGAATCCTCCGGGAGTTTTTTTCCTTGAGAAATCCATAGGGAGTCCTATGGGATTCCACAAAAAGTCCAGCAAGAGTCCTATACAAAAAAATTTTATATTTTTTGTTGGAATTCCCGTCGGCTCACTCCGCCAGGAGTCCTACGGGAGTCCCGTACACAAAAAACGTGACCATAAAAGTTTATGTGTACTGTATAAAGTCTTTCACTTTCAAAATGCTAGACAAGTATAGATGCGCATTTCTATGAAGGATGTTTTTCTTTATTAGAAATTTGCTCAGGGCAAAATAAACGTCCGATACATGTATAAACGAAATGAAAACATCGAACGCTAAATATATGCTTCTTCTATAGAACATATAGACTTATATGACAGCCACGTGATTGATGATGATACGACGCTTTTTCTTCTCATTTTAAACCAGACGAAGAAGCAATGTCTTTTATATCAGACACTTATTTTATGCTTCTACTTACTGTGCACGATAGGGACGAACTAAGTTGCTCAATGAACTTGGACAAATGTTTCTCAAATTTTCAGAGCAGATAGAGAAATGTGTCCTGAACATTTTGGTCTCTTGACATTTTTATCCAAAGTGCCTCCCCTCAACGCCAGAGCGCTTGCAGAAAAGGTCGTAAAATACGGAAAAAAAGCGATTTTCCAGTCAATTTTGCTTACGCTATAATTCCGTCAAATCAAATGCTAATGAGCTTAAATTTTACCAGAGCTGTCTTGGTATGAGTACTATCTATGATAAAAATTTGAACTTGTTTGAGTTAAGCGTTCTCCAGAAATAGTTTATTCTTTGGACATAGACAAAACGCCATCGGCCGTTTTACAAAGAGGTTTTTGCAACCGAAGATGGTCCGTTTGAAGGGCTCTCTATGGTTTCGTGAAGTAGATCCAGAGTTCTACCCTGAATTGTTGTCAAATTTTTAGTGTGTGACGTATATATATGCATGTTTATAAGAAGAATAGCAGAAGCGATGATATGATCTAACCGAAGGTGAAGATCATAACACCTCCCCCCTAAAACAAAGATGCGCGCCCCGCGCATCGAAAAATTAAGCGCCAAAGATATCAGCTCTAAATAGGGGAGAGACAATATGATAAAATAAAAGAATAGTCAAAGAACAGACATTATTTCCAATTTTCTTGCTATATTCCGCTAACGTTCGATAAACAGTTTCCCTACTTTTTGTTAACATACCGGCATCATGATATTTTGGATGTAAATAAAAACATACTAAATAATAATCATTTTGAAATTCTTTCAATCGAATGTTCACCGATTTACTAAAAAAGCATCCAAATTCTTTTGTATCATTTTGCGCTATTAATTTTGACATTAATCGAGTGATATAAATTAAAACTAAATAACAATCAGCTAATGAGGCCGAATTAGCCTGTATAATACCAACTGCATAAGCCAATACTCGCATAATACCGTACAAATTGTCAATTTCATGATACAACTGCTTTTGTTTCACAACCACTAACACTTTAGGTGGTAATTCTTCACCATACACACAAATGATTGTTTCCAACGGATTTCTCAACACAGTAAACGATTTTAAACAATCAGCCACTGTCGTCCATCTTGTATCGGAATCAAATGTTTCTTTTCTAACATGAGTTCGTTTCGCTTCAGCTTTTAGTATTGCTTCGAATTTGTGTGATTGATTGAAATAAGTTGTCACTGTTGATAATTTTGATAACATTTTGACGAAAAACTATGTTTAACTACATCACCTAAAAGCAAAAAATAAATGATAAAAGAGGGGACATAGACAAATTAGCGATACACTTACACGCAATCAAATTGATGGCATGACCAAAACATCTTAGCGATTACTTTTATACTCGAACTTTTTGCAGTTTATATCTGCTTTTTGAACCTTTCTAAAGTAGAACTAAAGTGAGTCTGAGGTGAATGATTGACCCTGATTGCATTATGTTTCCGAAGAGAAAACCGGGTAAAACATGATGAAATTAGTGTCCCAGCTATCATAAGAAACATTACTTTTAAGCGGCTCTTTTATATCAAAAGTTGTTATTGCACAGATTTTCTGCCGGCAAGTGAAATAGATTTTCAAGTTCGAAGAATTAATCTGGATGATCAACAGATGAAATTAGTTTTTTCGGATACCGCTGGGCAAGAAAACTTTCGATCGCTGGTTAATAATTATTTTCGAGGATTTTTCGTTCTTTTCTGTGGCATATACAGAATTAATTAATCTGTGAAAGAGATGTGTCTCAAAAGAAAACTTGTCCAAAAATCCGATAGTGTAACATTGTGACTAGCGAAAATGAGACCTACTTAGATAACGGAACAGAGAGCTGAATTTGCTGTTTATATCTGAATTTACTACCTGTATCTTTATTCATACTGATTTTTTCAAAAAATAAAATTTTTTGTGTATGGGACTCTCGTGGGACTTTTTGTGGAGTCCCGTGGGACTCCCTATGGATTTTTTGAGAAAAACAACTCCCGAGAGAGATGATGATTACTTTCTTTCATCATGATTACTTGTTTACAGTATAAGGAAAGATCTTGAATGATAACTGCCCAACTGTATAACGCTCAGGCGATTTAGAAGGGCAGCTATCAAGGGTATACTTTTCATCTTCATCAATAAATATAGCTTAAACTAACGTGGGGATTGAGACTATAAGACAAAAGCGAAGAATAAACTGAGCAAATAAAATAGAACTAATGACATCTAAAAACTGAGCAATGAAAATAGAACTAATGACATCTAAATTTTGACCACTAGACAAACGACTTCTTTTAAGGTGGAAACACATTAAAACCTGAGAACAAGTAAAAAAAAATGGGGTTTTGTAGGGGTAACACTTTAGAAGAGATAAAATACTTCTTCTTCAGAACAATTTTTACACTTAATCTTTAGAGAGCTATTTCTATCTTCCACCAAACGTCCTTTCTCTTATTTTTAAGCAGAGATGGGCCAATCCGGCACTGAAGAGTTCAAAAGTAATTTTGAAAAGTTAAAACTTGAGTTGATTTATAAATCGGGTATCTTTTTGTTATTATATGATATAGAGTAAGAAATATAGGGCCGAACATGTTTTGTTTTTTGCACAACGAATATAATAAAGCATGCGAAGAGGAAAAGAAAATGTACAGAAACGCAGATTTTATAACATGTACCTTACTAAACTTTCGTTCTTTGAAAGAAAGAAAAAAAGAAGACACGCTCATTTTGCCGGTATAAGACGTTTAATCGAGTGTTGTAAAAAGTTTGGAAGATAAAAAATGAGTGACTTCGAAGAAGAATTCAGCAGTGCACGAAAGAATAATAGTGAATAATAGTAGTGATTCACCAAAACTTGGAAAAAATCGTGATTACATTTGGGAACATTTTGTGGATAATGGACAGGCAGAAACAGGCCATCATCGAAAATGCCGTTGCAAGTATTGTTCGAGTCAGTTTAATTACGCCAAAATTATTCTGATGTATCGACATATTGCACAAGAATGTCAGGCCATTTTAGAAGACAACCCACAAGGCCGTAAAGAGGTTATTAGACATTTATTAACTTTAAATAATCAGGAACAGAGTCCAGAAGAATCAACAAGAAAACGATTGAAAAGGAATATTGGATTATCCTCATCCCGGTCTTCATCATCGAATAGTCGTCAATTACAAATCGATCAGTTTAGTGCTCGTTTGATCCCGCTACAAGAAAAGCAAGAAATTCATCGGTCATTATTATGTGCATTCATCATGTGCGGAATGTCATTTCAGACAGCGAGCAACGTATTTTTCAAAGAGTTTCTAAATAAATTGAATTCGATGTATGTGCCACCGATCGAATGAAACTATCTCGAGACTTATTAATACAAGAAACAATCCTTGTTGAAAGTAAAAACGATGAAATGTTAAACGAAGCTCAACATTTAACATTGAATATAGATGGATGGGCGGACCAAGCAGGTCATTCATTGTACGAATCCAACGTTGGTGAGTATACTCGTCTTTATGTCAAAATTTCCTGATACCATTTGTACCTTTTGAAATAAGACTAGCGTATGGGTATCCACAAATGTCATTTTCAAAAAGAGCTCTCTTGACCTGAATATTACTTTTCTTTTCGTCATGTCTGCACAGTAGAACCTAGCAAACTAAAAGTTTCCTATGTGCGACTGTAGCTTAAATAGCTTAAAGCCTCTCGCGAGTCACTCTCACTTTTTCGGGTTCAAATTCATAAGTTTTTCTCACGTTCTAGTCACAGAAACGAGAAAACTGATCAATTGGACAATGCTCTACAACGTTCGTCAATGACTTCTAATATAGTAAAGAAAATTCGTGCAATTGTAACAGACAGCCCAAATGTAATGAAAAAAATGAGAGAAACATATATATCAACACCGCTTCATCAACATGTTTTATCTACTTTAAGAAATAAAATGTCTTATATATATATGTTTATATCACGTGGAGCAATCTGTCCGTTTCTAACATTTTTCTTCAAACGAAGAAACATTCTTCCTATAACGTATCTATATATATGTCGCAGGAGAAATTAAAATTCAGGAAAATTTAAAATTTTCCTAGGAAAAATTAAAATTTTATTTTCTCCTAGGCGAAATTAAAATTGTAACTTTTCCTTAGAGAAATTTTAAATTTTCCTAAACAAAAATGTTAAAGTTAATATTTTAATTATTCCTATAGGAAAAATT